ATCTAATGGGAAATATATTATATATTAAACTGACAGGACCCATGGACACGACGGATGCAGTACAGGGAGCTGACCAAGGACCAAATGACCGTTTTTTTTTTATAATTTCGTGGAAACTGCATGAAGTCTGTATTGAGGTTTACATATATCTGCAAACCACGAACACCCCTGGAGGAGATGACTGGAATAGCTGGTCGAATTACCGCGGAACCGCAGGATGGCAGTGATTATAGATCACATTTTTTTAATTGGGTTGGAAAGTAAAAACAACCGAATGGAGTCCCTGTCTAGCTATAAATATATCCGCAAACCCCTGGAGGAGCTGGTCTGTCAAGCTGGAATAACTGGCATGGTGACGGCGGATCCAGCAGCGGATGGCAAGTACCAGATCACATGTTTTATTGAATTGGTTTGGAAATTAACAACAACCGAATGGAGCCCCTGTCTAGCTATACATTTATCCGCAAACCCCTGGAGGAGGTGGTGGGTCAAGCTGGAATAACTGGTATGATGACGGCGGATCCAGCGGATGGCAAGGACCAGATCACATGTTTTTTTGAATTTGGTTGGAAATTAAAAACAACCGAATGGAGCCCCTGTCTAGCTATACATATATCCGCAAACCCCTGGAGGAGGTGGTGGGCAGAGCTGGAATAACTGGCATTATGGTGACGGCGGATCCGCAGGATATGGATTCTTGGACCTATACGTACCCGAAACCCTAAACCACCCTAAACCCCTAAACCCCTAAACCCTAAACCCCGAAACCCTATATTAAAGCCGCTTCGGGAACCCAATAGACAATTATATCATTTTCTAAGTACGGAGTATGTATACATATACATGCATGTGAACCGAGGACATGGATGGGGACAAGGATCGTACCAGCAGCAGGGAGGCGGAGGACATGGTTTCTAGGCTTGGTTTTTAAACCCTTTCTTCCGGGATTTGTTTGTCCTTATGAGCCCTTAATTTAAACCTTGAACCGTAAAACCTAAACCACAAACCCAAAAGCCTGCTATGCCTAAACCCCGGAACCTTTAGATCTACTTATCTGATATGGATACTGAATACACATAGCCAAACCAAACCGAGGATGGCCAGGATGGCCGAATGATGGGACCGGCGGATCCACAGGATCCACAGGAGATGGTTTCTAGGCATGGTTTTAATCTCATAACCTAATCTTGTGGAAGGGTTTGTCCTTAAACCCTAGTAGCCCTGAAGCTTAAAACACAAACCCGAAACCCAATTCTAGAACCCATACTTCTACTTATCTGAAAACAACCTAATGCATACCCAGAACACTCAGCCAAGGACAGGGCAACGCAGACGGTGGACAGGGTGCCACAGGCAACGGTGGAGATGGAGGAAAAGGATCCTAGGACTCATGGACTCTAGGATTGAAACTTTTTGATTATACAAAGAATTCTAGTGCTTAAACCAACCTTGTGAACACCCAGAGCACTCAGCCGAGGAAAGGGTGCCAAAGGCAAGGGACCTGGAAAAGGAGCCTTGGTTTGAAGTGAACATTTGGTTTGTTTTAGGTACTGTGTGTGGTAAAGCCCCAAGCCCAAAACTAACACGCAGTAGGCTTGAAGTGAGCCTATTTTACTTTTGTGTCTCGTCTTGCTGGAACCCCATGCCCAAAACCCGAAACCGCTGAACCCCATCCCAGGTGACGATGGCACTGGAGGACTCCAGTGACAACCAAATTGTAGCCTGGATATTTGTTGATTGGTTTGAAAGAGTGGGTTGGACAGCCCTGACAGTGGGTTGGAAAGCCCTGACAGTGGGTTGGAAAGCCCGGAGTATAGAATAGGAGAACATGAAAATCTCCAGGACCAACCATCGTCGAGGCTGATGAGGGCCTGTCGCCCCGCACCGTGCAGGCCATCAACCGCGACCATCCGAGAGATTTCCTTTACCAATGCCGGCAATGTGGAAGGTACACGTACATAGGAAGACAGTCCTTCCTCCGAAGCGAGGACAGCAAGGGTTGTGTCGACAGTGCATGTGCTTCGTTTCGTGGCCGGTCGAAAACAAAGGGACTCTACCGGATGTTGCACCGGAATGGAGTGACACCCGAAAGTTTGGGTTTGTTGGATCCATAGGAAGTTTGTGTTTGGTGGATATAGGACTGGTAACCACTAGGACTCTTAGGAACAACTGCTATTCGGATATCTACTGCTACTGCAACTACGACTACTACTACTACTACGACAGCTACAGAAAACTTTCAGGTGTCACTCCATGAAAACCCTTTTTCTTCCGCACGTGGTGGTTGGATAGCCACGCTGCAGACGCCGTGGTTCTTCCGTGTGGAGAAAATGAAAGCCGAAAGAGGGGTTGGAAAGCCCGGAGCCAAATGTATAACCCTGAGCCCATAAAACATTGAAGCCAATAATACATAAGTCCCGGCAAGTAAAACCCGATAGATTCTGACCCCCAAAGTGTACTCCACCACAAAAGGGTTGGCAAGACCGGCTGGATTGACAGCATAAAGCCTGAACTCAATATGAGTAGCGGCAACTCAAACCCGAGAGGTGGACGCCCATTGAAAACCAAAAGGGTTGGAAAGCCCTTCAGGAACCCTATTACTTAGGAATCCCAATAATGTCAACTAGACTAGATACACTAGTAATGAAGTACAGGAATAAAAAGTAATTGAAATAGTTAAAGTATTTGTATATGAAATAAACAAAATATTCAAAATAGATTATGACATTCTGTAAAAGGAATTCAAAGACGTCACTTAAAATAGATACTGGTTACACTATTCATGAAGTATATGAATCAAAGTAATTGAAGTAGTTAAAGGATTTGTATGGAATATATCAAATATTTTAAATACATTATGACATGTTGTAAATGGAATTCAGTGACGTCACTGGATACTGGGTACACTATTCATGAAGTATATGAATCAAAGGAAATGAAGTAATTAAAGTATTTGTATGGAATATGACGTCACTTAAATTAGATACACTATTAATGAAGTACATGAGTGAATGTAATTGAAAAAGTTAAAATATTTGCATGGAATAAATTAAATATATCCAATACATTATGACATCATGTAAACGGAAAACATCTATAATAATCAAAAAAAAAAGAAAACACACACAAAATCATATGAAGAAATATGAATAACCATGAAGATCCATGAAATCATATGAAGGAACATGAAGAGCCATGAAGAGCCATGAAGAGCCATGAAGAGCCATGAAGACCCATGAAGAACCATGAAGAACCATGAAATCATATGAAGAAATATGAATATTTATGAAGTGGCATGAATTTAATGAATAAATTAAATATATTGAATTAAATTAATTAAATTAAATAAATAGAATCAATAAATTAAATAAATTAAATATATTGAATTAAATTAAATTAATTAAATTAAATAAATAGAATCAATAAATTAAATAAACTAAATAAACTAAATTAAATTAAATTAAATTAAGTTAATTAAGCAAATTAAATACATCAAATAAACTTAATTCAATGAAATAAGTTGAATTGAATAAGTTAGATTAAATTAAATAAATAAATTAAATACATTAAATACACTTAATTAAATTAAATAAACTGAACTAACTAAATTAAATTAAATAAATTAAATAAATTAAATACATTAAATAAACTTAATTAAATTAAATAAATTGAACTAACTAAGTTAAATTAAATTAAATTAAATCAAATTAAATTAAATTAAATTAAATCAAATTAAATTAAATTACATTAAATAAACTTAATTAAATGAAATAAGTTGAATTAAATGAATTAAATTAAATTAAATAAATAAATTTAATACATTAAATACACTTAATTAAATTAAATACATTGAACTAACTAAATTAAATTACATAAATTAAATAAGTTAGATACATTAAATAAACTTAGTCACATTAAATAAATTGAATTAACTAAATTAAATTACATAAATTAAATAAATTAAATACATTCAATAAACTTATTTATATTTAATAAATTAAAGTATTTAAATGAATTGAATTCAATAAATCAGTTAAGTTCAATTTCATAAATTATTTGAACGAAATTCATTAAATTAATCTAAATAAATAAATGACATGGATTGACTGAATCAAATGAAATTCAACCAATTACATAAAACTAATCAAACTCAATATGTATGCCACGATATGGAATATGTGTTCTCCCAAACAAATTTAATTATCGAAGTGAACATCTATGCTGCTGCTGCTGGGGCTTTCCAACCCGTCTGTTCTCCAAGAACTATAAATATAAACAAATCACAATCTATGCTGATGCCGAGGCTGGGGCTTTCCAACCCGTCTTTTTGTGCTGCCACCTCGTTGCCCTTTTTGGTGCTGCTGCTGGGGCTTTCCAACCCGTCTTTTTGTGCTGCCACCTCGTTGCCCTTTTTTCTGCTGCTGCCGGGGGCTGGGGCTTTCCAACCCGTCTTTGTGTGTACTGCCACCTCGTTGGTCTTTGTTGCTGCAATCTCAGCTTTGTTGCTGCTGCTGCTGCTGCTCGGGCTTTCCAACCCTTGCTATGTTTCGACGTACATATGCATTATTCGTGTATTCACACACACACACACACACACACAGCTTCAGCCCTGAACCCTCAAACCCGCAACCCCGAACCTAACCGAAAGCCCGGGCCCATGCATGTTTTTTTGAATGACCAAAGGATTTAGGATCAAACTCTAGCTACAGATCCCCTCTAGGACCAGCAGTGCCATGCCGGTGATGAAGAAACCCGCCGGCAAAAGACCCGCCGCATGCACGGAACTCGTCCCCTACAAGAAGCCCAAATCCGAATTGGATGAGGATGAGGAGGAAAAGGAGGAAGAACAGGAAATGGAGGAGGAAGATGAAAAGGAGCCATGTGACAATGAAGAGGAAGACCCTGAAGAGGAGCAGGAGGATGCAAAGGAGAAGGAAGGAAAAAAGAAAAAGAAGAACCCCAAGCTTAGCAAAGAGGCTTTGGAGAACCACCAGAAGTTTATGAAGGAATGTGGGAAGAAGGATATGACCGTTGAGCAAGTCGACGAAGCAATGAAGAATGCCAGCACCAAGACACAAATGAGTTTGTGGAAGGCCTTCGAGACCAGTAGGATTGCAGAAGGCCACCAGGATGAGTTCCTCAAAGCCTCTGGATCGGTGGGCTCCACGAAGAAGAAAAGGAAGATGCTCAGCTCGTGGATATTGGACGGGGGGAAGTTCACGAAGCACTACAAGCAAGCAATTCAGAACTATGCTACCGGAGCACCTAGGATGCTGAGGGTATGAACTTGTCTTTTTTGGATAATGAAACCCTTGGATAATGAAAACCTTGCATAATGAAACCCTTGGATAATGAAACTTCATGGATCTTTTTATTTGGAATACAGAACTTAGGCCAAGCAGCAAGTAAAGTGGATTTGGCTTTCAAGGACGGAAGCGGAACGCCGCATAGGCGCTGAGGAACTCAAGGATCGTGTGCAGAGAAAGACGATTGTGTGGCGCCGCAATCCAGAAGACCAGAAATATTTCCAATTCAGGTGTCTGGACTTTTCATTGGTTTTTGATTTACTTTGAGGATATGTAGAGATATACAGTGTATACATATATATATATATCTATCTATCAGGTAAGAGCCAAGAAGTTGCAATATGATTATCCTTAACCCTTTATGGTAAATTAGGGTATCCTACCATGAAACCATATTCCAAATTTCTGGAGTGCACAGGTTTGCGAAAGAGTCCGACGAAGTCTGGACGGAGAAGTCGCAGCAGAGGAGAGGATTCTCCGAGGCAGGGGCAACTAAGGAGGACATGCTCGAATGGAAAAGGGGAATGAAAGAGGGGCCGGTCATGGTGGATGACTTCGACTTCGAAGAGGGGTCAGGCGACGAGGTCGACCCGGACGAGGACCCCCTGGGGTTGGCTACCACCAAGGGTAGGGGGAGGAAGGAGAAGGAGGAGGGAGGAAAAGAAGAAAAAAGAAACAAGTGGGAGAATGAAAGCCAGGCCAGCCGGTGTAAGCTAGCAGCTAGCACATGTTGCTGGGTTGGTAAGCCCTTAGCTGGGTTGGTAAGCCCTTGGCATCAAATCCCAAACCCCAGATGCTAAACTAAACCGTTTACCCGAACTCTAGAACTCATAAATACCCCTACTACGATCATAAATTCCACCTCTTTTGGAGAATGCCTTAAACTCTTCATACACCCTAAACCTTACAAAAGATCGTTCCTTTCATATGGTTTTTGGAAAACCCCCCAATCCCTTCTTTTCACAAATTCCCCAGAAGCCCTTTCATTTCATGTTGCAAGCCCTTCAACACCAAACCCAAACAGGTTTCGAGCGCCACTACGAAGCTGGAGCTGGAGAAGAAGATCATCGTGTTCAAGACCGAGCTTGGGAAGGAGATCGGGAACCTGGAGAACAGCATGCTTCAGATCAAGGAGTCAACCGTGGATGCGAAGACCAAGAAGGAGCTTTACAAGCTTGTCAAAGAGGCCGGGTTTTTCTGTCAGTGCACTTGATTAGTGAAATAACAACAACATCGCCAGGCAGTGACAAAGGCTGAGGAATCCAAGACTTGCTTGGAGAAGTTCAAAGGATCAGCGAAGATGAAAGCCGAGGATGTAGGATCTGCCTTGCAAGATGCAGTGGCTGCACTAGGACTTGCCAAGCAGGCGAAATCGCAGGCCAAAAAGAAGGTCTAGGAACAACGAGCCGGCAGGACGATCCGAGAAGAAAAAAACGGACCCCCCGCTGCTGGGTTGGCTAAGCCCTGTTATGTGTACCCGGACTGGACAGTCCACGCTGCTGGGTTGGTGTAAGCCCGATAAATGAACCTTAAAGTTTGGATTAACTCTTTTCGTGTAATCGCTGCCTCAAGAAAAGATTGTAACTTCCATAGCTTTTTGGCAAATTCCCTAAAGCCTAGAACCTTGAAACAAGCACCAACATCATATGTCTTTTGGATAATCCGCCGAACCCACTAGCCCGAAAAATTAACCTTTAGCTCCGTGTAATCGCTGCCTCAAGAAAAGATTGTAACTTCCATATCTGTTTGGCAAATTCCGCAAAGAACTCAGCATGCTATGTCTTTTGTATAATCCCCGAACCCACTCTTGTACCCAGCCATGGCAAGCTCGAGGAAGAGGGCAGCGAGCCCCCCACCAAGGAAGGAGCAACTGAAATCCCCTTTGGCTATTCTGCTTTTGAAACGATGGAGCAGTGGAGATATCCCAGCAGTTCTGGTTCAGGAAGTGGCCAGTGCAGCCGTCATGTCTGGCTGCGATGCACCAGATGTCAATGCACTGAAGAGATTGGGGTGTGACGGCCTGCAACCTGGAACCTTGGACTTTTACAAATTGGATTATGTTTGGTGTTTCGTAGCTCTACCAACAATATATTGTAGATACAGTATATATGTATTTGTATAAGTACCTGGAACCATGGACTCTTACACACTGGATTTTTTTGGTGTTCTTTAGCTCTATGAACAAAACTTAACTTAAGTACTTCGAACCATGGAAAATTGTAAGACTACACATAGGATATCTTTGGGGTTTCTTAGCTTTATGGAGACTTAATTAAGTGAATGTATACATGTATACATGTTTCTCTTGACAACCAGTATAAGGCAACATACAACGGGACCTCAAGAGAAACTTCTTCAAGGACATGGTGTTTCCGGAGTGCCGGATGATCAAGTCCACGCTGAAGGGCAAGAGTCCTACTGGAACGGAGACGGAATGCCCTGGAGAGGTACCTGTTGTTTTGCCGGAGGACTGGATCGGCTCCCTCAAGGACAGCAACTTCGAGGAGGTGTTGGGCATGGATGGAGTGGAAAACTTTTGGAAGGAGCAGTTGCAATGGGACAACCCCAGGATACAAGCTTCAAAATCGTTTTTCCGCAACCTCTCCAAAGACGCTGACAAGAATCACGTCGTGCCCTTTGCACTGCACCTTGGCCGCATCAATGGTCTTGGTACAGAAGGGCTGGACAGCCCAAGGATTGTTTTTGTTACAGAGAGGGTTGGACAGCCATGGGCTGACTGGCTCGAGAATTCTGGACTGCATTGAAGGGATTGGACAGCCCATGGATGTGAAAGAGTTTGATGGGTTGGACAGCCCAGAGGGAGGGCCATCAACCGCAACTATCCGAGAGATTTCCTTTACCAATGCCGGCAATGTGGAATGTACACGTACATAGGAAGACAGTCCTTCCTCCGAAGCGAGGACGGCCACTTGTGGTTTAGCTACGAGGAAGAGCCTCGTGTGCCATGGGCTCAGTGGCTTGAGAATTCTGGACTGCTTTGAATGGGTTGGACAGCCCATGGATGTGAAAGAGTTTGAGGGGTTGGACAGACCGGGATCCCAAGAATATCTGGAGGGAGAACACCCGCCACTTATGGTTCTGGACTTCTTTGAATGGGTTGGACAGCCCATGGATGTGAAAGAGTTTGAGGGGTTGGACAGCCCAGATGTAAGGAAGGAAGGCAGTTTGGGGGGTCACAGAAGCAACAGCCAGCAAGGACGAGATGATCGGGTGGAACAAAGGCATGAAGGAGTGACTTTGAGGAGGGGACCCCGGATGAGGAATGGACTTGATGCAGAAGGGTTGAACAGCCCATGGATTGTTTTTGTTACAGAATGGATTGTGGGTGTAGAGGACCGAGGCCGAGCCACGCATAGGAGCCGACGAGCTGAAGGACCCTGTAAGGAGAAGAACAATATGGCGAAGGAATGAAGACACAGAAGGGTTGGACAGCCAAAGGGTTGGAAGGGCTGGACAGCCCGTGTAACGAGAAGAACAATCGCTAAGGAACCCATGAAGATCAGAAATACTTTCAGTTTCGGTGAATGGACTGGATTGAATGGGTTGGACAGCCCAAGGATATAGGCTTAGACTTCTTTTTGTTCTTGGATTGTTTTTGTTACAGAATGGTTGGACAGCCCATCAGGATGTTTTTTGCTGTCACGAGAAAAAAAATCAGGCACGGTGATGCCGCACCGCACACCGAGACTGATTCGCTGCTGACGGTGAGTATGAGGAGTATGACCTCGAAACTACCGGTGAACCACAGCCAGCTGGTGCCTTGGATGTTTAATCGGCATGAAAGTCTAGAATACTTTTGTTTCCGAATGCATATTAAATAGTGGTTTCTTTTATAGCTAAAGTCCAAGCCTCACTGAGGTGTTGTTTACAATTCCAAAATGTATTGTCACGGAAAAGCTTTTGGCTGATCTGTGGGACGCCATCGTGGACAGTTTCAAACGGATGGCAAAGCATAGAACTGGGATGGTCTTTGCAATCATCGGTGACCTGGACTGGTTTTATTCTGAGTTTGCTTTCCCGCGACACAACCAGCAGCATCCCTGCCCGTGGTGCTGGTGCAACCAGATGCTATGTGTGCATTCGCATGTTTTGTTATGCTATTTCCCACGTATATGTATATTTATATGTATATGTATATGTCTTTGTATATGTATATGTAAATGTATATGTATCTGTTTATGCATGTACATGTATAAACAGATATGCATATGTGTGTGTGTATGAGACAAGTATATGTGCTATGAAGCGAAGGACAGATGTACCATGGAACGACCTGAGAGCAAGTGCTGCTTGGAGAACGCAAGTGAAGACAGCAGAGGACTTTTGCAACGAGTTCGGCGGCCACAAGCTCTTCGCCATCCCTGGCCTCAACCCACTTGCAATTGCTTTGGACACTCTGCACACATGGGATCTGGGCATAAGCTGCCACCTCCTCGGATCGTTTTTGTGGGACTTGGTTGAGGATTCAGGCCATGGAAACAGGGACGACCGCTGGAAAGAGATTTATGAGGAAATACAGTCCATTTATGAAGGATTGCATGTGGCTGCCAGCCAGAGAATCGGAAGATTGAAATGGAGGGACGTGGCGAAGTCCAACCAAGTATTTCCGGTTCTCAAACATGTGAAAGGACGCCGAGTTAGGCACTTCGTGCCGGTTGCTCTGTCGCTTGCAGAACGGTACAAGGAAACCTGCCTGAGATATTATGTCATGCTGTAGTTGGTTGTTTTCACAGATGCTGCTACAGGATCCTTTTTTTTGGACCTTATCCGAGGACGAGGACCCAAAATCCCAGCATCGCTTCTTGGCCATTGAAGCTTTGGCGAAGATGTATGCACCTTGGATGTCTAGAATAATTGCCGAAGAGTTTGTTTCAAGTGTAGAGTTTCGCGAACTAGGTTTAAGAAGACTGTATGTATCAGGATTTGGTGGACCAGCCGGATGTGAGATGGAAGAAGGAGGACCAAATCGCATTCAGCAAGTCCGTGGAGAAATGTCTGAAACACTACCAATGGCTTGGAAAACATTGCTTTGAGAAAAAGCTCTTGAGATATTCGATGGTCCAGAAGTTCCACCTCACTGCCCACATGCCCTCCACGGCCATGTTTATGAACCCGCGGTTGTAGCTTGGACCGCATTTCAGATTTTCCCTGTCCATAACACGTCTACGGGATTTGCAAGCACGCCTTCATGAGGACGTGGTGCTACGGTGCCGAGAGCTTCATGGGAACTATGGTTCATTTGGCCGGCAGCTGTGTGCATAGCACCGCCGCTGTCAAGCTTCCCGCTGCCATGATGGCCAAGTATAGGTTCCTGTGGGATCTTTTGCTCAGGAGGGTTGTGGACTTGGACTTGGATGACTGATCGAAGGCAAAATGTTATGCATGGGTTGGATAGCCCTACAGCACCGTTCATGTCTGTGGAATGATATAGGCCCGGGTTGGAGAGCCCGGTAGCTGCATGAACATGAAGATGTTTTTTTTGGCAGTTCGAGCTGTGGAACCCAAGGCTTAAGTAGCTAGTGCAAGCAATGGCCCTTCAGAAGAAGCCCGCCATAAAGGCGGGGTAGCAAACTTTTATGTAGATTACATCGTTTTTTTGCGCCACTGCCAGGACCAGAAGGTGAAGCGAAAGCCTGCACTGAAGAAGCCGGCCCAAAGCCACGAGAAGACCCCCAAGGTGGACGTGTTTCTTCTCGCGGGTGAAGTCATGCAATGAATACACTACTTAGGCAAATAAGGATATCAATAAACGTTTTTAGTGCAATTTTTGGCCGCATCG